ATCAGCGCCTACACTTTTTTGGGCATTTCTACTCCAATTTTTATTTGCTGCTCTTACACCTTCGATGTGTTCAGCAGCTTTCTTGTCAAAAATAGAGCTGCATCGAGGACACAGCATTACTTCTGATTTTTTCTTCTGGCATCGTTGCAAGAATTCTGCCAGGTTTTCGTTCTCCAGAGGAAAAGCTGTTCTGTTTGCTTGCTCTTGCCTAATGGTTTCCTTTGAAACTTTTGATTCAGAGATTTTGACCATGTTGACATTCATGTTGTCTTTAGTAGCAAGAGTCATTTGCTTCATTTGAGCCTCCAGGTCTTTTGTCTGGCCTTGCACTGCAGCCAAGTAGGAAACGGGTTTAGTTCCAGATTTTGAGGCTCCAACTGTCTCCAGTTTTGGACCTTCGGCGGCCTTTTGGACTGCTTCGATTGTCTTTCTAGAAAGGTTCCCAGAAAAACTGCCAAAGATTGGCATATTGACATGATCTTTGGTGACTTCGACCATAGTTATCCCTGGCCTTTTCATCTGACTCCTGGAAGCTTCGATCACATTCACCTCTGAAGGTTCAGCATAGTGGGCTTCCGCCTGCAAAGGGCTCGAATCCACATTCACGGGGGCCTTATCTGCGAACTTCAGCCTCCCTTATTCGATAGCATTCTGCACGAGATCCCTGAAAAGAAAACATTGAGATGTTTTATGGCCCAAAAAGTTATGATATTTACAATAGCCTCTTTTCTTTCTTTGATCAAGAGGAGGCACTTTTACCCCTGGGGGTATTATCATTTGGCCATCTTTTACAAGTAAATCAAAAATTTCATCACATTTCGTAATATCAAAACTGTAAGTCTTTTTAGGGAACCTATCATTGGCCTTTTCAGAACCAGTGGGGTTTTTTCCACTTGAGGGGACTAGTAGTTTGCAAGAGTATGGTGGCCCTTGTTTTAACTCAGCTAAATCGACCTCACTTTCTTCGACGGTTATAGGTTCGTCGAACGTTTCTGGATCTTCATCGTCCATTTCGACATACACTATCCTTTCTCTTTTATGAGTTTTCGTCGCTCTGGCTTTTTCAGCTTTAAGGCATTCTATCTGTCGAATCCTATCAGCCAATTGGGCCATGTCCCTCAGGTACTGAGTGTCTAATTTCTTCCTAATGGAGTAATCTAGACCTCATGCGGCTATTTCGACTAACTCATGTTCTGGAACTTGCGTAAAGCATCTTGCCTTGAGCAATCTAAACCTATTTAGGTATTCGTCTATAGGCTCAGTGAATCTCCTCTTTACACTGGCCAACTCTTTCAGGCTTATTTTGGTTTGTCCCATGTAGAATTGCTCATGGAATAATCTCTCCAACTGGGTCCAATGGTGGATCGAATTGGGGGGGAGAGTTGTGAACCAAGTAAACGCATTCTTTGTTAGGGAACTTGGGAAATACTTAATCCTTAGGTTCTCATGGTTTGAAATTTCTCCCGCTTCGATTAAATATCTTGCCACATGTTCGACAGTGGATTCTGTTGTGTCCCCTGAAAACTTAGTGAACTTAGGGACTTTGCATCTAGGAGGCAAGTCCGTTTGTAACACATATTCCGATAGCGGGGATGTGAAGTTGGGCCTACGGAAGCCCGTATTCATCCCATTTTTCATCATGATTCTTTCAATCATGGCCGTCAAGTTATTCTCCAAACCAACATTCTGGTATTGGATCTGCTGAACTACTTCGTCAGCGTTTTGGTTTCTATTAACCATCCTTATTTCCGGGGCTATAACTCTAGGCTCTTCGACCCCGGGTTGTTCCATTTGTACCCTAAGGTTCTCTTCGACAGGCTTCTGGACTTGATTAATAGTGGTTTCTTCCTCTAGAAGTATGCCTTGGTTCCCCCTTATTTGTGCCCTTTGAGGCTGTCGAATAGGTTGGGGTACCCCAAAAAAGTCAGCCAGACGCGATATTTGCGCTGTCATTTACTGGTTCGACTGGGTGGTATTCTGTATTAGAAGATTTAGCATTGTACTTAAAGTTTGCGCCAACATTTGAACCATGTCGTGGTTGCTTTCGTCCATTTGCTGCCTCAAGACTGTTGTCGAGGCATTCGTAAGGCCATGCATTACTTGGGACGTTCCTCCTAAGAGTTGGGTCCTACCCCTGTTCGCCATACCAACCCCAGAGCCTTGGAGTGGCGAAGAGGCGCTCACTAAAGGATCTGAAAAAGTGGACGTAGCATTCGTCAGGCTAGCCAATTCAGAAGTTGGCATGCCATAGAGTGGTTCTCGATTTAAACCGACTGTCGAAAAGTCTGGTGGAACATATGGCCTAGTTCCTTGGTTTCCCCTTGGTGGGGGAGTTCCCAAAGGCATTATGGGGCCTGTAAATGGAGGTAATGGCCCCGTTTGTGTAACCGTTACTGCTGGCGTTGAACCAGCGGTTACCACTTCACTTACGGTTGGGATAACCGTTGCTCCCACGTTTGTCTGTGGGATTTCTTCGTTGTTTGGCGGATTCGCCATTTCTTCACTTCTTCTCCTAGTATTGGTTTCGTTGGTGTATATTCTACCACTTCTCAATAACATGCAATACTCTCGAAAAAGGAGGATATTTTATATAAAACGGTTAATCGTGAGAAAATCAACACAAAGTCCCATCAGGTGTGCCAATTTGTTTACCCTGAAAATTGGTAAACAACCGCTGATCTTCCAAAAGGTTACTTATTTGGTGACTCGCATGATCGATCAGATTGATCCTAAGACATGGTTGATTTTTGTAGTTCGACTAATCCTAATGGTGATTAATGTCAGTAAAGTAAAGACACTTTAAGTAAATTGCATGGAGAAAAGCTTGATAGAATAAATAAAAGCTTTAAGGAATTGTTAAATAAAAGGCTTCGACGGAGGTAAATAAATGAACAACGGTAAATTGCTTGAATATAAAAGATTTTGATTAATTTAAATGGTGTTTCACACATACATTCTCAATGATTCTTTCTCTCACGCTGGGTATTTGAATCTAAATGAGTGACTTGTATAAAATGATGAACACACTAATAACTACATAAAAACTTAGTATTTATACTAAGTAAAATCCTAAGTAACCGCTGGGCAGTTACACCGCTTCGAGATGATGTCACATGGCACGCTCACAATCTTCGACGCCTATGTTCTCGACACGTTGCGCTTGGTAACTGCTGGGAACCGTTTTTCCTCCAACAATTCAACTCTCAAACCGTTCGACCTTGGGCATCAGGGACCTTTGTCGAGAGGTTCCTTCGACGTCGAAGACAACAAGATTCCAACTTAAAGGAATTTCTCTAAGTATCTTGTCATTCTTTGATGAGCCTTCGACATGATCAGCTGGTCGAAGCCTTCTTGTGTCGGAAACTCTTCTGACTCAATTAATGATCTATATAATAATAGAATGTGGGTGTCGAATTTAGGAGACAACGTATAGTTAAGCATGTTTCAAAAGAACAAGGCCATACAATTTCTTACAAATGATTACTAATTTTGGCTTTTAGCAAATTTAGGAGTTATTTACTGTCTGTCTGCATAATTTCTTTCCAAGTTCTTTCCAAGTTCTGGCAAAGACAAAATAGAGACAAAGTGGTTAACTGTTTTGTTTTCAGGCCAAAAAAAAAAAATACTACTATCAAACACGACACCGGCACTTTAACACCTGGAATAATTTAAGAAGAATAGGCCTAAAAAAGAAAATACTACTACCAAACACAACACCGTCACTTCAACACCTGGAATGATTTAAGAAAGAAGAATAATTAAATATAACTATATAGATATACATGATACATGTCAGATATCAGACATACGAAGTCAGAGTGGTGTAGTATGTAGTCTCAATTCCTTTTTAGAATGCATGTAATTATCTAAGTATCAAAATCAAAATCAATGGAAGACACTATCCTTTAGTATATCATGAATCTAGTAGCCTTTTGTAATAAAATAACTCAGCATACAAAAAATAGTAACTTTAACACAGTTCAATAATGCAAAAAATTGGAGATGAAAGTGTCTCTCAACAGGTGCAAATAAAGATCTAATGCAACAACTGAGGTACCACCATGATAAATAACTAGACTACACCTTTGAATCTGCAATGTACCTTTCTACAACCAAAATGTGTGCATATAGTCCAGAATGATAAATTTCATTTGATACACTAGACTTTGCAAAAAGTGAATAAAACAATAAGCTTTTATACTTCACTATCCTGTATTGTATTTCACAAGATAAATGTAAACTAGGATTTCTAACTCAACCTGTTGTTTACTTATAGCTACACTACAAAGACCTGTTTCCTAATTCTTTTCTTAACCTGATAACTATACACAATCTATAACTGTCGGCTATCCTACAAAATTCTCTATGTTACATGAGAAAGAATTGGATCCTAAAGAAGAGGGTTAGAACTTTGTACAAGGTTGTATGGTGTGTACTAATGTTGGACTCTGGTGCTTTACAATCAAAAAGTGTGTGCTTTGGTGCCCGGAAAAATATGCCAATGAGTGATGAAAGCTGAAGCCATTGCAATAGAAGACATTCCACTTCAAAGTTTCTTTTTAATTTGAAGAATCGGATCCATCGTCTTCATAGCGTGCATTAGATGCAGAATGATTCTCAATCTCAAGCAATCTCAGCAGGCACCGATGCTGGGTCAAAATTTGGCTTTTCCAGAATATTTTTCTACGAATATTCTGCAACATGCCGTTAAAGAATCAACTCCTAAGCCTTTTGTATGTACAAAGATCAGCACGTGGCGAGAGTTCGCAATCTTGCCTCAGTAAATGACATCGAGAGGCTAATTGCCACACCATCATCTTGAGAGGCATTACTTAGCTCAATCTCGAAAGCAGTCCCGTTAATACCCGCAGGTAGATCTCTGCTCTCCGGCTGATAATGGTGTCGGTGCAAAGGAGTGGACAACCCAGTCTTCAATAATCTCTTCTGCACTCTTCCATTTCAAGTCAACGTTCTTAGCCTTCTCCGTTTCAGCCTCTTCCTCAGCTTTCTTCTTCTTTATCTTTTTTACTCTTCCTTGTCAAACCACTGCTTTTACCCTTTTCCATTTCAGCCTCCTTCTTAGCTTTCTTCTCCATTTCAGCCTCTTTCTCAGCTTTCTTCTTCTCTAATTCTGCTTGTTTGATATTCTCATCATGTGCTTTGAGAAACATCCTTATAAAATTTAACAGAGTTGCAGTAACTGCAATCAAGAATCCGAAAAGGTAAGTTAACTTGAGCAATACAAAATAGGTAATAGAGCAAATATGTTATCTTTGATAAATAGTGCAGGAATGATGAAACTGCATTTGGTCCTATTTAAATCTCATTAACTATAAAAAGGGTTGAACAAATATTTATATAAATGTGCGATGTAATTTATATAGGAATGTTATCTTATCATAATCCTAAACGATACTAACAAATAATAATATAATCAATATCTCAACAGTCATGTCCTCCCATTTCTTCTCCATTTATCTTATTATTATTCCCTGTTAAGAGCTTCACATCGACAAGTAATAATGATCAACCTACCTTGCTCAAAAGGACAACGAGCAGGATCCTCATTGAAATACTGTGCAAGTGCGTCTGCATTTCTACCCTGTCCCGCAGACAAATAATATAATCTTTATATCCCTTTATATCTGTGAATAATCTACCAAAAAAGATGGTTAAGCATATTACCACATCAGAATATAGGCGTGTTACAGAATCCACCTGAGACTTGGCTTCATTAACGAAATCTTTCAATGTCTGGAAAGAACAGAAAGGTAAGTCAAATGCACAGAAAATACAAACCAGATAAAAAACCATATAAGCCAGAATTAGCTTTATGGATGCAATGTGAGGAAAAGCTTGTTCAATTCTAAAAAAATAAAGCACTCCTTCATGTTGTTTTTACACAAGGCCAATGTTTATACAAGATAATGGTCTCACATCGACTATATCATAGCATTAGTTGTAATCTCTCTATATATAATAAAGTCTCCGTAATGCTTTTCAAAACACACGATTTAACATAAATGTCTCTTGCTCTCTCTTAATTCAATATGGTATCTAGAGTCTACTAAGAGGCAATTCTTCGCCGTGTTTTACCCGGTTGACCCACTGTCTTCCGGTGAGAAATTTTTTTTTTTGCAAACCATGTCATCACTCCGGTTTGCCTCCCACTTTTCAAAATTCTCCGGTAACCACCGAACTGCTGCCGCCATCCGCCGCTACAAATTTCGGTGACCTTCCGGCAAACTAACCCTACCGGCAAAAGCGCCTCCTTCGATTCGGCCGATTCCGACGATTTTAACACCACCGCACTCACCACCGTGCAACTTTTCCAAATCCAATACTCATGGCTACTCCTCAGAACTTTACGCCAAACTACGATGATTTCCTCAAGTGGTATCAGAATTATCAGAACTCAGATTTTTGGATTGGATTATAGTGATACCTTCTCGCCTGTAGCCAAGATGGCATCTGTTAGACTTCTTCTAGCCATTGCAGCCATTCGATATTGGCCTCTTCATCAATTTGACATCAAAAATGCATTTTTACATGGTGATCTTGAAGAGGAAGTATATATGGAGCAACCACCTGGGTTTGTTGCTCAGGGGGAGTCATCGAATATGGTTTGTAGGTTACACAGGTCTCTTTATGGTCTTAAACAATCTCCGAGAGCTTGGTTTGACAGATTCAGCACTGTGGTACAACAATTTGGTATGGCCCGTAGTGAAGCTGACCATTCCGTCTTTTATCGTCACTCAGTCCAAGGGTGTATTTATCTTATTGTGTATGTAGATGATATTGTCATAACTGGTAGTGATGAGCAGGGAATACTCCAGTTGAAACAACATCTCTCGAATCAATTTCAGACAAAAGATCTTGGTAAACTCCGATATTTCTTGGGTATTGAGGTAGCCCAATCTAAAGATGGTTTGGTGATTTCTCAGCGGAAATATGCTATGGACATTTTGAAAGAAACAGGTTTGTTGAACGCTAAACCAGCTGATACTCCTATGGATCCAAGTGTCAAACTACTACCCAATCAGGGGGAGCCTCTATCAGACTCGGGAAGGTATAGAAGATTGGTTGGAAAGTTGAATTATCTCACGGTCACTCGTCCAGACATTTCTTTTGCAGTCAGTGTGGTAAGTCAGTTCCTAAATTCCCCTTGTCAGAAACACATGGATGCTGTTATCCGGATTCTGAGATACATCAAATGTGCTCCAGGAAAAGTTTTAGTGTATGAAGATAAAGGACATACTCAGATAGTTGGATACTCCGATGTTGATTGGGCAGGATCACCAATTGATAGACGATCCACCTCTGGGTATTGTGTACTTGTTGGAAGAAATCTTATATCTTGGAAAAGTAAGAAACAAAATGTAGTTGCAAGATCAAGCGCCGAGGCAGAGTATAGAGCCATGGTGATGGCAACATGTGAACTTGTTTGGTTAAAATTGTTGCTCAAGGAACTTAAAATTGAAGAAGCGAGACCAATGACACTTATTTGTGATAATCAAGCTGCATTGCACATTACTTCAAATCCGGTCTTCCATGAGCGGACCAAACATATTGAGATTGACTGTCACTTTGTCAGAGAGAAGTTCGAGTCAGGCGAAATCACTACAATCTGTCAACTCAAATGATCAATTGACAGATGTGTTTACAAAATCTCTGCGAAGTCCCAGAACTAATTATATATGTGGCAAGCTTGGTGCATTTGACTTATATGCTCAAGCTTGAGGAGGAGTGTTGATATATATATATATATATATATATATATATATATATATATATATATATATATATATATATATATATATATATATATATATATATATATATATATATATATATATATATATATATATATATATATATATATAGTGTTAAGAATATTTGTATGTAGAATAGTCCTACATCGACTATATCATAGCATTAGTTGTAATCTCTCTATATATAATAAAGTCTCCGTAGTGTTTTTCAAAACACACGATTTAACCTAAATGTCTCTTAATCTCTCCTAATTCAATAACTACATTAGCCGAGGCAGATATAGTGTCATCACAAATAGTTTGTTAAAGATGTAATATAAAAAGTATTCATGTGCATTTACTTAAGAGCTTAAGCATTTGGGGGAGGTGGTTCATAGGATTCGTGTGAGGAGACGTGTTGTAACTTATAGCAACAATGCTCAATACTTACTCAACAGCTTGAGCTTTTGGTGAGTTGGTATGGAATATTATGGAAAAGACATGGGCAAGCTTTGTGCTTGAGAGTGAGGAGTTCGTTTACTATTTTCTTCTTTATTCTCTAGGTTAAGTTGCCAATTATAGGGTGGTTCTTGGAACAATGACACCAATCCTTATAAGGGGAAAGGGGTATTAAAATAAGAATTGTATTGGCCATTGGCTTGACATTTCAAAATAATATAACTTTCTACATCATTTTACAAATCAAGAGATTCAGACAAAAACTACATTCAAAATTTAGTACAATGAAGATATCAATATAAGAGGAAAATCTACCGGACCCTTAATCCACAGATCTGAACTAGAACTCCCGAGGCTTGACTGTAAACTTGAATTAATTAATTATGATAGACGTAGGAATAATAACAATGTCCCCCCTTCATAATACACAAAAGCCCGTTTATGAATTAAGTTTAGTCAAGAATTTCTTTGCATTTTATTATGCGTTTTTCATGATATAATAATGAAGAATCAATAGACAAACACAAAAGTGCTAACACCTTACGGAAAACTTCAGATACTGGGCCATCACTTTCACAAGCAGCAAGCTCCTGGTTTACTTTTTCTAGTCCCTTGGTAATTGCCTGCATTTCTTCTGCTAATGACTTCAATTGTATCTGCAAGATTAGAAATAAACAGACAATATTTATTGCAATCCCATGAGCTAATACTGATAGTTGGTCAGTATCAACGGCAATTTCTTTTGGCTAACAATGCAAATCTCCATTGACTATAGATAGTGCTTAATAAAAGCTTACAAAGCTTCCTCAACTTACAGGTCAATTTTGTGATGGGGAGATTGTAGTAAACTACAATGTGGAGTTGTGAAAGTCTCACAATGTTGACAATGGGCCGAGTAAAGACAATAAGCGTGAAGAATCATGTACCTAAAAGTAGGTACAATCCGAATTCGAACATGGTAATAGAGTCTATCTTATAGATACATTCAGCATTATCGATGGTGGATGGCGGACCATGGCAGAAACCCAAAAATTCGACATACCAGCAGGCACATGATGTAGCCATGCTCGAGTATGGTGCCGTGGTGCCACCATCCTTCTCAAATCGGTCATATCAGTTTTCCAAAAATCCACCATGATATCTATCATGGCCAATACTAGACAACGCTAGATCCATTGGGGGGAACCCGATATCATGCCACTTTATTACACTCTAAATGTTCAGTCCCAAGCATTAATTAGGCAGTGTTGAGAGTCTCGTACAAGATAGTGATATGGCCTAGTAGTGGTTATAGACATCCCTCGCCTTACAAGTCCACTTTGTGGGATTGTGTTAAGAGTCCCAAGACCTAAGAATAACATATGTATTTTTAGAGTCCCAAGACCTAAGAATAACATATGTATTTTTAAATATTTTTTAAACTGGGTGAACAGTCAACCGTTAGTGCTCAGGAAACTAAGATAACATGCCTGTCTCGGCAATTTGAAAAAAACTAACAGAGTTTGCAAAAGAGATGTCCTTCGCAAAATTTACTGGAAATAGAATTCAATCTCTCTTCTTTTGTTTCCTAATGATCATTTCATAAGTGACTTTCTAAGCATGTGCTTCCCAGCAGCGTATGAGAAGTTAAACCATAATATGAACAACAAGCGTACCATTTCAAAAACCATAATATGAACAAGCGTACCATTTCAAAAACCATAATACGAACAAGCATACCATTTCAAAAACCATAATATGAACAACAAGCGTACCATTTCAAAAACCATTAAAGACATAAGCGGTCTTTAGAAATACAAGGAGAAAAATCAAATCACACCAAAAAAGCATGGTAGTAAGGTGAAGTACCTTAGAGGCAGTATCTACGCTAACTAGGTCAAGGTGAAAATCAAGGAGTGTAGGAAACTTTTCAGCTAGGACCTGAAGTTTAAAATGAAAAAGAAAAACCAGAAAGTTATGCCACCAAATAATATCTTTATTTATTGCAACTTAGACTTGTACCTTGCAAAGATAATGCATCAGTGTCATTTTGCTGTTAGAAGCACGAGTGTCGGTGAGCTTTAAAAGGCTGTCTAACTTAAATCCAACAGCAGATCCTGTAGAAAGTGGAAACGTTTCACATCAATTATACTATATCATATGTAACAAAAACACCTATAAGTTTGTCTGCTGCCAACAAGAGGAAAGGCAAATGACTATATAAATGTTAAGAGAGAGCAAGCATTTTTATGTGTTTCCTATACTGAAAAAATGAAAGGAGAAAGACACTTTCATTACTAAAAAAGACATACCTCTTGCTGTTCCTTGATTCAATGCATTACCCAAATAAAGAATTTTCTTCATAATCTCCTTCAGTTTGACTGAATTTCGGACCTGTAAGGCGACAAGACACAAGGTCAGAAAGATACAACAACAACAACAACAACAACAACAACAATCAAGCCTTATCCCACTAAGCGGGGGTCCGCTACAAGGTCAGAAAGATACAAGCAACAAAAAGTTTATTAGATTCATAAGCAAAGTACCTCTTCACATGCAGAGTTCACTAAGTTTAAACTCTTATTAAACTCTGTAATCTGCACAAAATGGAATCGAGATAAGGAAAGCAAGAAACCAAATATACAAAAAATTCAGAAAATTATTACAGACAACAGCAAACCTGACACTGAAATTGAATCTTGAAACAGAATACTCTTAATTTCGACTCAACTCGTGGCACTTTCATCAGCTCCATAAAGAACTGAAACATTACTAATATAAGTATATGATTACTAACAAAGGGGTTATTGAGTTAACAAAGATCAAAATGATTTATTTGTAATACGACATGTACACCCTAAGGTGGAGAGTATTAATAAGAGCAAGACAAATTTTTCTTCCACATGACACCGGGAATCACGTATAAGTTCTAAATGCTGGCATTTTCTTTGTACAATATTTACTACAGAATACTTTGGTCAAAAGAAATCAATCACAGACCTGTTCGCACTTTCCCAAATTCTCCTTGTTGCCAGTATATGCCTAAATATTCATAATCAAGATGAACACATTTTAGATAGGAAAAAAACAAATCAAAGGAAAAGGATGTTACTCATAGTAACAGCAGATGCCAGAAATGAGAAAACTTAATCGCCACAAAAAACAATGTAAAAATCATATATAAGTTCTTATGCTTCACCTTCAAAAGATCCATTTCCTCTTTGGTAGGACAAAATTTAATAAGATTTTCCACCTGATCAACATCTAATACTGAGTCATCCAAAGCCAGTACTGCAGCCTGAGAATATTAATTTCAAAATATTAAGTCAGAAAACTTGGTTTAAGTCTTTATGATATTGATCCATTGTGTATTTTATACACATTTATCCCTCTCAACAAGACCACTTAGATCCCAGCCTTCTTCAACAGTTTCTCTTAGCTTTCTCTTATCTTCCTCTATCTCTATTTGTTGGGCTATCCTTTATCTGAATATTCTTTTACTAATTCATCTATTTCCTTAGATTTCGTTGTATCATCTTCTTGTTTATAAGTGTTGCTCATATGTTCTAATAAATTAATTCCTCATCTTATCTTTACTTATATGTCCACTCATTTCTGCAACATTCTCAACCCTGTAACAGCTGACATATGCTCTTGTCGGCACTTAATCATATAACATCAGTACATTCAAAGACATCTTTTGATTAGAAGAAACACTTGACTCAAAATCTCCATTTCATCTGCCTAACTCAAAACCTATCTCCTTAGCATCCATCACTGTGTCTAACTGACACAACTATGAAATAACTTTCCAAGAATTTATATCTATATTTCATGCAAAATAAAATACTATCATTCATTATGGTATGCTTTACTGAAAAATCCAAGCTTGCATATTTATACTTTAAAAATAGATGACATGAATTAAGAATTTTCAAAGTGCCAACTTACCATCATATCCGGTAGAGGCATCTTAACCTTTGTAAGCATAATTTCAGTATTATAGGCTCTCCTTAAATCAACCTATAAAAAGTATATGAATCCAAAAATAATTGATCAGATACTTGGGAGTTACCAAACAAATACGAAAGTCAATGGGTTTAGGATGTATATTTGCAGTAACAAATAAAATATGCACCATTATGTATACCGACAACATAGAACAGAAAACAATGAACAATGACAACATTAAAATTAAATTTCCAATAGACTAATTCAATACAGTCATTCAAGTTCAACACTTTATGTACTAAAGAATGCTCAATCTTTTCATGGCATGATAAAACTAAAGAAGAGTGTACATCTGTTCCTCACAATCAGAGAGCGAACACCTAATCACTCAAGTCAGATCAAAGTGAATATGACTTCTTTAATGAACAAATTATTAGGCATTCAAAACAGTGATATTTAGTTCCAACTTTAATATGAAGAAAGCCTTGTACATAGCCACCATTGTTGTGAAGTATAACTACAAATCATGGTGAACTACAATTTCAAAAGGAAAGAACAAGTGAAACCATCAAATCATATCTCACAGATAATGTACAGAAAAATACCAAGGTAATTTTCTCAGGTTTGGATCCTGCAGACTTGCCTAGCCCTCCAGATTTACCACCAGAAGCAGCAGGTTTGGGAACATTTACAGCAAAAAGCTTCTCTAACTCTGAAACGTCAAACTCTTGTCCACTAAGATAGATTGCAAAACCGATCATTACAACCAGAAAGAAATTGAAAGCGTGAGTGACGTGATTAATTATAGCAAATTGAAAGGACTAATAAAAATATTGCAATAATAAACATGTCAAATTACATTTGAGTTTCTCCATGTCTTTGTAATTCTTCCCATAAACTTCCTTGCAATGCCCTTGTTACCTTACTCCAATGAAGAGGCTTTAAGGAGGATCGTCGAGGTGCCGCTGCACCAGTAGGACGTGCAAGTCCACGCCCTCTACCTCTTGGATCAGCCCCAGGCGGTGGGGGTGCACCACCTGGAGGTCTAGGAGGTGCGGGAGCACCAGGTGCATGAGCTCCAGGAGGAGGTGGTGGAGCAGGGCCTCGACCACCTGGAGGTGGAGGAGGAGGTGGGCCTTGGCCACCTGGAAGTGGCGGGGGAGGTGGGCCTCGGAAACCTGGAGGTGGCGGAGGAGGTGGGCCTCGAAAACCTGGAGGTGGAGGAGGAGGTGGGCCTTGACCACCCGGAGGTGGTGGAGGAGGTGGTGCTTTTGTTGCATGCATGGGAGGTGGTGGCGGTTGTGTTGCTCCGTAGAATGGTGGAGGTGGGGGTGGTGGGGCCTTAGACAGTGAATGAGGTGGTGGTGGTGGAGTTGCTCCATAAAATGGGGGAGGTGGTGGTGGTGGAGTTGCTCCATAAAATGGGGGAGGTGGTGGTGGTGGTGCTCCACTAGATGCAGAAAGATATGGTGGTGGTGGTGGTGGTGGTGGTGCTCCACTAGATGCAGGAAGATATGGTGGTGGTGGTGGTGCTCCACTAGATGCAGAAAGATATGGTGGTGGTGGTGGTGGTGCTCCACTAGATGCAGGAAGATATGGTGGTGGTGGTGGTGATGGTGCTCCACTAGATGCATGAAGATATGGTGGTGGTGGTGGTGCTCCACTAGAAGTAGGAAGATATGGTGGTGGTGGTGGTGGTGGAGCCCCATAGAATGGTGGAGGTGGAGGTGGGGTCTTAGACATTGAAGGAGGTGGTGGTGGTGGTGGTGGTGGTGGTGGTCCACTAGATATAGGAAGATATGATGGTGGTGGTGGAGCCCCATAAAATGGTGGAGGTGGGGTCTTAGACATTGAAGGAGGTGGTGGTGGTGGTTGAGGTGCTCCACTAGATGCAAGAAGATATTGTGGTGGTGGTGGTGGTGGTGGAGCTCTATTGAGTGGTGGAGGTGGGGCCTTAGACATTGCAAGAGTTGGTGGTGTTAGAGGTATTCCACTTAATGTAGGAAGATATGGTGGGGGTGGTGGTGGAGTACCATAGAATGGTGGAGGTGGAGGTGGGGGTGGTGGTGGTGCCTTAGACAATGAAGGAGATGGCGGTGGAGGTACTCCACTTGATGAAAAAAGAGGTGGTGGTGGTGGAGTTCCATAGAATGGTGGGGGTGGGGGTGGGGGTGGAGCCTTGGACAAAGGAGGTGGCGGTGGTGGAGTTTCATAGAATGGTGGGGTTGTGGGTGGAGCCTTGGACAAAGGAGGTGGAGGTGGTGGTGAAGGTGCTCCACTCGATCTAGGAAGAAGTGGTGATGGTGGAGCTCCAAAGAATGGTGGAGGTGGGGGTGGGGGTGGTGGGGCCTTAGACATTGAAGGAGGTGGTGGTGGTGGTGGAGGTTCTTCAGTTGATGAAGGAAGAGGTGGTGGTGGCGGCGGAGGTTGTGTTTTACTTGTAGAAAGAAGAGGTGGAGGCGGTGGAGCTATACTAATAGCAAGTGGGGTTGATGGAGCTTTACAAAAAGGTGGTGGTGGAGGAGATGGTGGTAGGGCTTTATATACAACAGGAGGAGTAGGAGGCAATGGTGGTGGAGGTGGAGGTTGAGATATATTTAAAGGTGGTGGTAGTGGAGCATTAAGTAATGTTGGTGTTATAGGAGGAAGGAGTGGTGGAGCTCTATCCATATAAGACAAAGGTGGTGGAGGTGGTGGAGGAGGAATGGATGTAACTCCATATTTTGGGGGGAGAGAAGAAGAGGGTGGAGGTGGTGGTGGTGGTGGTGGAGGAATGGGAAGAATGACTGCATCAACTAATTTATAAACTTTTGATGCAAAAACACTTCCTACTATAGGAGTTGAAGGAGGTAAAGCACCACCATTTTCTCCACCTACACCAATCGATGAATAATAGGGCTTCCTGTGAGTAGAAAGAGGTAATGAGCTCCCTCTATTTTGCGCAGAAAATGAAGGCGGAGGTGGGGGTGGAGGAGGATAAGTTGCAGCTTGTAAGTCCATCTCTTCATTTTTCTTACCAAAACCTGACAAAAAAGGTGGAGGTGGTGCTGGAGGTTGAGGAGGCGGTTGAGGCGGGGGTTGCGGTATCGTAGACACTTTACCATCCAAGGAAGAAGATGGTGTTGGGGGTGGAGTTGGGGGTGGAGCGAAAGGGGGGATATGAGGTTGTAGCACTTGATCAATGCTTAACTGTAGTGCTTGAGTAGCTGACTGATGAAATGACTCTGTAATTGGTATCAATGGTGATAGCTGGGCGTTTGAATCAATTTCCCATATGCTTTCTAGAGATTTTGAATTGTCCCCATTACAACTTTTCAGATCATTTGTCGAAGAAATACGTCTTCCTTTGGCATTAGTAATTTTCTCCTTTGCAGAGGTAGTATTTGACAGAATAGATGGTGAACTATTATGCCTTCTCGGTGGATATGAAACATGCATTGAATCTTGATAAGAAGCTTTATTAGAAGGTATCCACCTAGTTGTTGCATTTTCGTTTGCTTGTTTTTCCTGAAATCCCCGTGGTTCTTTCTGTTTAGCCTTTTGCTTTTCTACAACTACGCCTTCCACTGGCTTTGGGTCAGAAGGAAGTTGTTTCTTTTCAACAGATATTGATCCGGCAAGATCATGCATCTGCTGCCCTTCCTCGGGCTCTAATTCTTGAAGTGTTGCATTGTTATCTTCGTCATAATTGTTTCGCTTAACTGCTAACTCATCGTGCACATCCAAATTGACTTCTTGTCTCTCCGGGGTTTCCATCATGTCAAAAGTAACAGCAGTGGAAGTTAACTTATTTTCTCCACCATCCACAGCAATATCTTTCACTGCATGAGTATCTGAATCTACAAGCTCATCAAGCTTGTATTTCACATCATCAACAGTGATGTCTTTCACCTCGTTAATAACAGAATCTGTCCATTCAACCTGTTGGTTAAACCCATCATCTGGCGTGGAATCCTGAAAAGTAGGAGGATCTGAATACTCTTTCCAGACATCTTTAAGGCTTCCATCATCTCCTGCATTTTGACGAAACTTTGGAGAATCCTGTGCATCAATTACATTGCTGAAAATCTCTTCCACTTCATAGAATTCGTCAGGTGAACCGCTTTCTGTCTCATTTTCATCTTCTTCACTCACATTGACTGTGGTTAGATTAGGTATAACAGCATCAGCATCCAAAAAAAGCACCTGATACAGATATGAGTATGTAATCATCTCCTACTGACTTGAAAAAAAGGCTGTGACATAAGAATAACAATAACTTACCTCAGATTTAAAATCCTTGGGGAACTGATCCTTTGTATCCCACAATATATCGATTTCATCACGGCTCAGCACCAAAATATTTGACCGTATAAATGCAGTATGAAACATGACTCTAAACATCATCTCCTCACTAACGAAATCTTCGCTTAAATGTATACATTCAAGAACGACATCCCCTTGAACACGACAATGAATATCAATTTTCACGAGCATACACTCTGCCTGTGGTTAAAATTTCTTAAGCAGATTTTCTATTAAATTAATTCACATTCAGTATGAATAGCATAACTTTACATCACCTGCAGGTAGTGGCGAACATGATTTTGGACTTTTGAAGTTGAGAAAAGAAGCTTAGAACTTCTATTGGCAGGATTTGAAGGGTCCGGACCATAAACATTTACAACAGGCCTGCAACCTTTCCCACCATCAAATAATGGAAGAACTCTTAGAATTACACAATCTAAATATAAAGGTGTGTCTGACGGAGGCCACTCAGAACCCAAATCTCTCCTGGAAATATAATGAAGATATCTTAACTGAGAAGGCTGTGGGTTCAAAGGAGATAAAAGCTGGAGAAGTTCTCTGGGTGCTTGCTTGTAGACCATTTCAAGAGTCTTCAGCTCCCCACTATATTGCTTTCGGTACAATAAAAGACCGGCTAACATAAATGCCAGCACAGGCCAACCCCCTCTTTCACAGTGCATCAAAAGCACATTTTGCTGCCCCTCCAAAGAGAGCCAGCTTTCACTTGATCGAAGGAAATGATGAACCATCTCTAGAGGAAGAAGTGGACAGCCCTCGTATTGCCGAGGGTACTCCATAACTGTCATATCACATAAAGATAATATGTCTGAAATTTGGCTGCGCCTATCCCCTTCTCTGAAATTGAACACCATGAAAGAAGCATCTGGAAAGTAATCTTGTAGCTGAGCTACAATTCCCCCCATATACAATTTGTACTCATCTTCTTCCAAGACGCCCGTAGAGAAGCAGCAATCAAAAACTGCATCAAATAGAAGAGTAAGAACTCAACTTATTCTCATTCTCATAATTCATTATTTGGGTTACATGTCAATAAGTAGTTAAGAAAACAGATACTGATCGCAGTGTAAATGAGTTTGTCAAAGAAAAGCTAACTTCTCATGAAGACCAAGCCTAGTATACATTAATCAAAAGAGAAAGGTGCCAACTACCATTTTTACAGTTTACTCTATTGCAGCAAACGTAACTTTAGGCAAGGCATAGACGGAATTTCCTAAAATAGAATGGTTTTACAGGGAAGGGAAAGAGAGTAAATTTTTCATTCAACATAAAGATTCTCAAACTTCATAACTTTTCAAAAAAATGAAAGATTATCATGAAAATTAGTATCCTAACTCCCAATCCCGTGTTAATATTTTTAGCATTCCTTTATTTTGGAATTAAAAATTGAAATCTCGCGTCCCGGTGCTATTTCAAAGTGACTTTTAGGAAGCTAGATATTCTTGCTTCATCCTGGAGGTGTATTAGGTAGCCTGTCCACTGCAATTCCAAACATTGGGTTAATAACTTAATATAACTCGTAATTTAAAAGTGAACATTTTATCCTTCCTTCCCTTTTCCTCCAAAACCCTCCATCCAAATAAAGTATAAATAAATCAGTTTCACTCAAAACCAGTGCTGTCGATGGCGGAAAACCAAAATTCCGCCATACCGGCTGTTTTGCGACGCCATTATAGCAGATTATGGAGGAAAAACCCACAATATCGGCCAATATTTACCATTGCAGCGAGCCCAAAAACCGTGATGTATATCTGTCATAGCACTGCCATGGCGGATATTTGATAACACTGCTTAAAACACTTCTTCCAAGAGTTCATACTAAGACAAAACCAACTTTCCTTAGTTTTTCAACCAACAATCCTCAACTGATGAATCACCTTCACCACCATCCCTAAACACTTGTATTTTAGCATGCCGTTGCCCGTTGCAAATTCAATCCCCCAATATCCCATTCCACTATTCACTACACTTTTTTCCAGTACATAAAGGTTTAGCACAAACAAACGACAATACCTTAATCCAACACAGAAAGGAAAAGCCTTTCAGCTAAGAAAGTACGTGTAAAGACTTACACTACATTCATGGCGGAAAGCCAAAATCCTGCCATACCGGCTGCTTTGCAGCAGCGTTATAGCGGATTATGGCGGAAAAACCCACAATACCGGCCAATATTTACCATTGCAGCGAGCCCAAAAACCCTCATGTATATCTGCCATAGCGTTGCCACGGCGGATATTTGATAACACTTCTTCCAAGAGTTCATATTAAGACAAAACCAACCTTCCTTAGTTTTTCAACCAACAATCCTCAACTGATGAATCACCTTCACCACCATCCCTAAATACTTCTATTTTAGCATATTGTTTCAAATTCAACCCCCCAGTATCCCATTCATCTATTCGCTACACTTTTTCCAGTACATAAAGATTTAGCACAAGCAAACAACAAACCTTAACCCACTTTGAGGACTTAAAAATTAAATCTAACTCTAATTAAGCTCCACTTTGAACAACCCAATACTTTTCTCTTAAAAAAGAAAGACCTAACTCGATTCCCGTATATCAATATCAATCCCGAAACACATAACAAGAACACCAAACTTGTCAACTTGATGAAGCTTGAAGCGAAGCATTACCGAAAAAGAACTAAATAACCAAAAAAAATCCGCATTGTTCTAACTAACAGTAACCTATACAGCAACAACACTTCAAACCATGTCCTCACATTCAACCACTTTCATTTTTTCTGCAAACTATTACCGGTTCGAGTCAAATGCTTCATATTACATCACATTACCATAAACATTCTTCAAAACTTCAATCCTCAGTAGCTCAATCGCCAAGAAAAAAACACATTAATTCAAAAAATTGAAAAATCGAGATTTGAAAAACCATACCATAGACTCTCTCAGAGATCTCGAGAAGACGATCCGGCGGCTTCCGGTAAAATAATCTTCGGAACAGCGCCATTGGATGGCGCTGTTACTTCCCCGATCGGATCCAAACCGAAAACCGGAATTGTCACTAGAACGAACAAAACGCAGCGTTTTGCAGATCTCAGAAATTGCCCCAAATTGAATATAATAGAATAGAGAATGTAGAGATAATAACAATTGATAAACAATAATTAATAATAACTAATGAAATTCGAAATTGGTAATGGAGAATTTAGAAGGAAAATGAAGTGAACAAGTGGAAAATTAGTTGTAATCAAGTTTTTAGAGCTGTTTTTTTTTTTCTTCTGTTTCTATGTTATGATGTTTCGATCATGTTTTTTTCTTTGTTTTATGAATTTGTTTTTGTTTCTCTCTCTATATATGTTGTTCTGCAACAACAACACCACAACAACCAGAATGAAAGTATAAAACATAAAAACTCCGACAAGAATATGTTAATCAATTTTTTTGAGAGAGAGACAGAGAGAAAGAGAAAGAAAGAAAGCCATCTTGCTTTGCCTTGTCGTTATGCATATACTAAAATCTACGTGGCGTGCCACGTGGGACTTTCCATCTACCTTGTCAAATTGTTGTTACTCTTTTGAGATGATTAAAAAGTAATTTAGTAACAATGAATAATATATATGAAAATTATTCAAAACTAAAAACATTCAAAGTGTTCGACTAATCCAAAACTATAAACATTCAAAATATCTTTGAATGAGTAATATTACAAATAATATGGATTAGAATAATTTTGTTTAGCATATCATGTGAGAAAGCAATAAAGATCTAGACACATAGTGTAGAGTGAATTCATATATAGAAGTAGTAGTTGTCGAAATAGATCTATAGATCTCTCAATTAGATTGGATCGTCTGAGATGAATCGTCTGATAGGGTCTAGATTGAAATTCATGATTCATACCACCTAGAACATGCGACTGCGAGGTGGTTGGGGAATAACAATCCCGAGAATGTGTCAAGGAGGGATAGTTGTTTCCTCCACATTGGAAGGAGAATTTGTTCCCTCTATTCTACATTTTGGGAGATATAGAAATCACTCATAACTCTTAAACCCAAGCCCAAAATTCTCCTATATATATCTTGACTTGAGAATAAGAAAGGGATAACGAAATTTTCTCACAAAAGACCCAAATATGAGCTCTTATTATCTTTACGTTGGCGGGCTTTCAACACACTTAAACACTCTAAAACCTCAAATAGGGTTACCCCTCATTGTCTTTTAGCAAGTATAATTGACACTCACTATAGAGCCCTAGTAAAATTGACATATGGCACACTCACGTTTCATCCATCAACTGCCTCAGTCACCTTCTTCAAAATAGTGGCAGAATGAGGTGCCACAACACATATTAACTCAGATGCATCTTGTTTACACCATAGTCGAAGGTTTTGTTGGAGGTGGGGAATCCATCTCTAAACCAATCATATAGAAGGAGTCAGAACCCCGAAATCAAATTTTCTAATAGAAACGTCGTGGGCATCCTTCCTAACAGGAATAACCCCATGATCATAATTGTGCAGTGCAACAAGTAGGACATTGAACATGTGCTTATTGATCTCAGAAGCTCAATAGGTGTCTTGTTATAGGACATATTTGAGATACTCATGTTAGATCCAAACAACATTCAAACATTTCAAAGTTCCCTAATCAGACTCTCTGGGTGCACTTGCATGTAAAGAGCTACGTCACTCTAAATGTCATATTTGGACTAGAGAAAAATGCAAACACAATCAAAGTTGTTTATCTCGTAGTATACGCCTTTTTCTATACAACATCATTGTGACGCACCTTGCCTTTAACCTATTAGGGACCTCTCTATCAACCTTGCCTTTAAGCATGAAATATTCTCTACTAACATGTGAGTTGGAGTAGTCCCAGGGAATTAAGAAACCGCCCAGGAATGTTACCAGGCAGCCTCATAATGAAGAGGGAGGGGATGGTTGTGCCTAATATTCAACAATCATGTGCGCAAGGAATGAACGTTGTTAATTTAGACCCCGTGATAAAGCCTGAGAAGGAAAGACTAACCCCCACAAAGGATCTAATGGAGATCTAGATTGGGCCATAAGACTTTTAAGTCACCAAACTAGACACCTCCCTATCTGAGGCATGACAAGAAGAGTTGGTTGCTCTACTGAAAAGAAATATCAACTTGTTCGCATGGACATTTACTAAAATACCACGTATTGATGGCATGGTGGTCTAAAATTTCCTCGTCATCAACTCCACAGTGAAACTTGTGTCACAGAGAAAGCGCAAAATGGGCAGGCAGAAACTGATGGCAAATGATGAGAAGGTTGAGAAACTGAGGAATTTTGTCTTCATGGCTGAGATCAAATATCCAACATGTTGGCTAACATTGTCCTGGTTTAGAAGTCATGAAACAAGTGGCAAAAGTATGTTGATGATGACAACTGCAGAAAGATCATAAAGCTTATTCAACATATTAATAAAGAAAAAGCAGACCAATACAATGAGATGTCACAATATACAATCAGCATGATAGAGATGCATTGTGATGACTAATGAAAGAATATTCATCATAGCAAAAGATGCAACATGATGAATAAAAGAGCAGATTAGATGATACTCAGCATAACAAAGATGCAACAGTTGAGAAAGTCAAGCAATGCACTTAAACGATTAATGCAAGCCAAGGTTTGATAAGAAAGACTCAGATAAGGATAAAGGAAATCAAAAGCCTTAATAAAGAACTGGAGCAAATATGCAAATATCAATAAAATAGTGAATACATCAGACAGATCTTTAAAGAACATATCAAAGCAAAAGGTCAAACATATGAAATACATCAAACACAATATCTAGGCTGATCATCCTGAAATAGAAATTGAGTGAATCAATGTAAGCAAAAACTCTCTCTTTGTAGAAGTTGTTGGCTATAAGCACACACACACTAAAACCTTTTTAATATGTTTTAAAATGAAATGAGTTGAGGAAAATATATAGAAGTTGCATAAAAGTGATGAGAACATTCAAAAAGCCATAAAACTTTTTTAGCTATATTTAATCGATTAAGATTAAATGTTAGTCGATTAAATAAATTCACCCTTGTTGAGCAAGGCAGATTGAATTCTCTCAAATGATTAGAAACGGCTACATATCAAAACCTGCCATTTTGGAGAAATATAGACGTTGGAATTTATCTGTTAATCGATTAAGTCAATCGATTAACAATGGTTATTTTTCATTAAATGAGGTTTCCTCTTGTGGGATTCATCAAGACTATAAATAGAGGTCTCATTTCCTCATTTCATTTCATCCAGAATATGAAATGTGTATTGACACACACATACACACACACACACACACACACACACACACACACACACACACACACACACACACACACACACACACACACACACACACACACACACACACACACACACGCTCTTTAAGTTTCTTTGTCACTTTTTCTCACTAGTTCTTATAGCCAAATGCTTTTGTGAGGAAAGTTCTTTTGTGAGGAGAGATTTATATATTTTTGGTTGGGTATAAATGTATAAAGTTATTCAAAGTTATCATTATTTCACCTTGATGAACACAATTCCTGTTTATGGATAAAAATATGTGGTTCGAAGCTAAACTCGTTAAAAGCTTTGGTTAGGAATTTGTGTGATTAGGTTCCCATAACCTATATAGGTTGGAGGTTATCAATGTTGTTGAACTTTCCTTAAGACTATTATAAAGTCTTATTTATTCAAAGATTGAAGATCAACAATATTGATGAACTCACGGTTAGGTTCATGGATAGCCCGTTATAAAACCATATATTAGTTTATCAGCCTGGTAAAATCAAGAGAGGTTAACGGTTACCTTGTTAAACCATATTGAGCTTAGATATTTTTTTAGTAGAGAGAAGTGATGGTACTTAGATCTATAATTGAGAGAGAAGCTTGGCCACTTCGATCTCAACAATGGAGAAGACGCGAGCGTTTATATATTTCATCTTGTACTTTCATGGTTGTAAGACAACCAACATTTCCTTGTAAATGGGGGTTCGCGAGCTTCACCTACTAAAAGCTCTCAAGTACTTAATGGAAACTCTCAAGACTAGTTCTTGGGGAGAGGAGTAAGTCCTTCAGTTTTGACTGAACCTCTATATATCGTGGTGTTCTTCTTATCCCTTAACTTTTTACTTTCCGCATTTTATTTCAAAATTATTTTTTCGCTGCTAAGTTATAAAAAAGTTTTTTAAAACTGTGATAGATCTTAGATTTTAGAAAAAAAAAATTCAAACTATGTTTTTAATCTTTGGAAAAGTTTTTCAAAACCATATTTTTTTCAAATCACACAATTCACCCCTCCCCCCTCTTGTGTATGAAGTCTCAAGTCCAATAAGTGGCATCAAAGCCTAACTCATTTGACCTAAGATTAATTTATCTTGTTTTACCGCCAAGAAAATGTATGATACTTTGGAAAAAGATATATGAAGTTTCTCCAAGTATCAAGCCAAAGGATATGAATACATGAGGCGAAGAAAATTTTATTTTTTAATTCTGTTTTGATTATTGTTAGTAATATTTATCTCAAAAATTAAGTATTGGAAAAACCTTTCCAAGAATCTTAAATTTATAGATAAAAACTTTTGTAGGTTTCAGGAAGAAAATAAAACATGGAAGCTGATATCAATCAAAGAATTCTCATGTTCAAAGAACAACAAATGATGAAGAATTTCTTCAGCCAGCTGAACAAAGAAAATAATTTTATAACCTTGAGGAGAAATAAAGAATCATCCACAAATCAAAGAAGACAGCATATGAAGATAGAAGATAAAATGAAAAATCAGATTAACATCCTTTTGTTTTACAGGCAGTATTGTACAGCTTAGACCTTTAAAGGAAGGTCACTTGATGAAGTTGTAACAAAAAGTAGAAGTATACTCTAAGAGTATATATTTTTATAAGTCTTTGATCCTGAGAAAGAATGCTGATGACAAATGTCAATAGATATGATCAAAGCAGATTTGAGAACTTCTCAACTTAT